TACTCCAAAAGCAGGAATCTCTATGGGTCTACTTCTATAATCTGTTGTATTGGATTCTCCTTGCTGTCAAGTCTCCTCCTTGCCTAGTTATTTTTGACTTTGTGCTAGATGTTCTACTGAAAAATTATGTGTGGAAATAATTTTATGTTATTTCTTTAGAGATGATTTTGTTCGCTTATGCCAGGCACATGGGGGTGCCAGCCATATAACAAATATTTATTGAGTATTACTGAGGCAGTAGGAATACAATTATGAACAAGAAATTGTTCCTGCCTTTACAAGTCTTACTCAGAATAAACAATAGTATTCATTTAAATAGAGCCTTTCAAGAATAATTTAGTTCATACAAATCTGATCGGCATGCAGCTTTTCCTAACCTTATCCATCTGCACCCATTAAGGATTGGCATGCTGGACCCTGCAGAGATGCCCTGAGGTAGCAGTTCTCTTGCAGTTTTATTTCTTAGATAATTTGGAAAAAAAGTTGTATGAACTGATTATTGTGTTCACTATATAAAAATCTAATCAGAAATAATCAGAGTGATTTTACTTGGACCAAACACTCAGAACAGAGGATGCTTTAACACACTGCACTAAGGCAGTTACTAGTTCGTGGCAGAAATAAGACCATAGCCCATTTGAATATTATAAACTTGAATACTCTAGATTAACAGGCAGAGGGAATTGAGTGCTTGTGTCTAGGTGGTGGAACCAAAAAACATAGCCCTTGCACACACAAGCTCAAGAGCACCAAGTTTCAGTCTTCACAAGCTGGAGTTTAGAGCTACAAGCAAAATAGTGAAGAGGCCGATTAGCTGAGAAGGAATCTTCTATGTAGTGTAACCCAGAGACCTTGACTTAATGATGGTGACCAAAATTGAACGGTCTGAGCTCTTGCTCTGGACTTGCCATCCTTAGTCATTTCCGGGAGTTACCTCATGCTTGTTTAACAGGATGGGGGTGTTTCTCAGATGAAAAATTGAAACCACTCATCACTCACTCCTGGAAAAAATACTCAACAGGAGAGCTGATTTAGGAGATTTAAGACAAACTACCCAGATTAATATGTTCATATTAATATCATTAATATGTTTTCTGTTCTTCAGTTTCCTGCTGTGTAATTTTTTGAAATACTTTCTTGAGATGCCAGAGCCTGTGGCTTCTTGGAAATAGGTTCCTTTTCCATGTAGACTTTGCTTTCAGGCTCTCTTTTTCCTACTCTGATGAGTTTTCTCTCTGTTTTGCACATCCCAGTGTGTTACTTGAGACCTACCCATCACTATCTGTGACTGATTCTTAAGAGGGAGCCAGGTTAGTCAAGCCATATACACCACATCTTGTCAAAATGATCACTTTCAGTCAAGGAGCCATAGACCCTACAAAATCATTTGTCTTAAATAAGAGCTAGATCAAAGTTAACTGGGAGTAAGAAGATGGCATTTGCTTTGCTTAAAAATTAATGTGCAACCCTGTCAGTTAAAATTTAGGAAGTCATACTAGAATTAGATCTTGAGTGTTCCTCCACCAAACTCATGTGTACCATAGGTTTAAAGAATAATGAGAACCAGTGTATGTCAATACTGAGCCTCCAGTGCAACCAAGTGTAGCGTGTGGTTTCCCCCATTTCCTTTCCCCCATGTACACTAAGATGGTAAGTACCCTTGGATTCTGGGGTGTCTGCTTCTTCCTGAGATCTTGAGCGTGACCCTTACTTGATTTGGGTTTCCCAACACTGTTAAAACACACAGAGCTTGTATCATTCAAGTGCAGAAATAATTTGTTGAGCTCTTACAGTGAGCAGGCATTTTGCTGGCATCATGGAAGACTGAAAGGAATATTAAATATGGGTTCTGACCCCCAGGAATTCATAATCTAACAGCTGAAAAAAAGACTTCCAGACATAACTCATGTTCCATTAAAGCAATGGTATATGGAAAGTGCTGTAATAGAGGCCTAACTGAATCCAAAGCTGACATGGTTTAGAGCTTAAAAGAGTTTCAGTGTCCTTCTCAATAGATCTTGAAAAGGGAATTATCACTAGCAGATTATTCTCCAAACAGGACAGGCTACATAATTTGTGGGGCCCAGGGCAAAATGAAAATCCTTACTCAAAAACAAAGGATTTCAAGACAGCGACAGCATTAAACCAAGCATGGTGTCCTTCTGAGTGTGGGGCAGTGTGACTACATAGGTCATGTGCCCAGGATACAGGCCTTGTCTTCAAATATAGCCTGTGAATATGAGCAAGAGGCAAATTTTGAGCAATCCAGAGGAGGAAATTACACAAAAATTTTCCATGAAGTAGTTCACAAAAAATAAACTCACTATAAGGAAAGACAATAATTCCGTCTTTCCCAGATTAGCAAATGGGATTGGGATCTAAGAGATAGAAAGTTAACAACTTGTGAGGACAATTTCACAGCTACAAGGGAGGGATAATAGTATTAGCAACAGTAGTAGCAGCAGCTGACACAAACATAGAGAGCTTATTACACAGCAGGCTTCTTCCATTAGGTGTATTTACTCATTTAGTCCTCAGCATAGCCCTGGAAGGTAGATACTTCCTTCCAGGTAATGTTTCCCTATCTCACAGATGAAGAAACTGAGCTTAGAGAGGTTGGGTGATTGCCCCTGGTAACACAGCAAATAAGTGGTAGAAAGAGGATTTGAACACCAACAGTGTGGCTCCAGAATCTGTGCTCTTACCCACCATTTATGCTACCTCTCATGAAGCAAAGGCAAATTCAGAAGGAAAGCAGGAAGGGAGGGAAGAAAGAAGGGCATTATCCCTGTATATTCGTTCATTAGTATCATAGATTTGGCATAACCAGGGTACACTGTGTGTTCTGTGCATGTTTTTAATGTTTTCTCTTTTTGCATTTCATGTTCATAGTTTAACAGCACCCGTTCGCCCTCCCCCACTGAGTGTTGCCACATGGCCCCATGGAGTAGAAAGGTACTGGTTCTGAGAACATTCTCTCACAGCCCTATCCCACTCTCTCCTGACACTGTCACTTTCTTCTCTCTTTTAAATTTATGTCAAACTCTGTTGTTTCTAACCAACTAACCGGCGTTCTTTTAAATCAATTTAAAGAGTGCTATGTTCCTGACTTGAATTAAATAAAATATAATTTAGACAGGCCACTGGCTTTTTTTTTCCATTTCCTTGTCCCCCTAAATTGCAATTAAGGCTTTGTTCAAGTTGGGCATCACCTAATGCCACTCCTCGACTTTGTAGTTCAGAGGAAAGAAATTCCAACTTGCCCTATACTTATTGGAACTGTAAAGGCTCAGCTTCTCAAATCAAAAGAGAGACCAGGATAAAAGGATTCTCTGGCAGCCAATTGTCCCTGTCACCATTAAATAAAAAGTGGTTTTGGCTGCTGGTCAGAGCCTGTAGACTGGTCACTATTCGTTCTTTGTTTCCCAGTCCATTGTTAGTCAAGGAAGGACTCGCCTACAAAATGTGGCCTTCGGTGGTATGGGTTTCTCTCCAACTCTTGCTCTCTCTCCCTCTCTTTCTGTTTCTCCTTTTGCATGCACCAAACTTTTTTTCTTTTTGGAAGTTACCTAGGAAACAAAGTCTTTTGTGCTCCAACTTTATGTGAGCTATTCACTTTGCTGGGAATCTGCACAAAAGCTGAAGAAAGAAGGTCGCAATGTTTTATTAAAACGTTCGTGGTAAACACATTTTTCTCAAGGGGGGGAACCATAACCTGTTGGGTGTGTTGGGGGGCCTTACAGGTACCTTTGACAAGGTAACCAAATGCTGCGGCTTAGTGTAAACAAGTGTCTCTGGAATCTTCTCTTTAAGGGGACTTGAGAACAGTTCATTTCACAATATGTAAAATCTGCTGAATCAACAGGCCACGACACATCCAAATGTGAGGTTGAGAAGTTTTTTTTTAATGATCCTGATTTTGGGATGCAATATTATTAAAAACTAACTGGAATTAGGGGGAAAATATTTATTTTATACAAACACTCACCTTCCTCCAAATGGTGGGAAGAAGGAAAACTAGGTTCATTGGTGAAAAGTGGGTCTTTTAATAATCTGCTTTAGATACCCAACCCTGATACCAAATCAGAACTGGGATGGAGCCTTCTCAGTAATCTGGGCTAGGAGCCCGACCCTGAAATAAAAATTAGACAATATTAACATCTATCAAGAGTTGATGGAGAATTTTCAAGTGTCATATAGAAGTTATGGCCTCTAATTACACAGCTGGAAGAAAAGTTTCATACTGCAAAGCTGAAAGAAAATAAATTAAGGCTGTTACCCTCTTCTGAATTTGGAAAAAAAAAAACACTTGAACCTTCCCCCCCCAATAGCAGCTTTTGTATTTTCCTCTATAGTTAGTAGAGGGGGGAGAAGGGATAGTGTTCACTTTTGCTTTTCCATGTGCATACAATGTTGATGAAACTGCATTTTTTAGAATGTTACTCACAAATGCCATAGTCCTGCAGTAAAATTAATTCCTTGTGTTTTAATCCAGCCTCTCAGATTGGGTTGGCTTGTCCTTCAGGTGATGTGTTCTGGAATGTCTCCTGATTCCAGGTTTTCTGGCACGTTTTCCAGACCTTTCCATAGGCACCTAAATCATCTTCTCCCTTTGATGCTAGTCACTAGAGTTCTCAAGACTTTCAGTAGGACTCGAGGGCAAGATGGATATCCAGAAAGTGGATCTACTTCTCACTGGACTAGAGGCTCACATTTTTCTTCAGTTTGAAGTTTGGGGATTTCAGGCTACCTTGTCTCTCCTCTTAATTCCATTTGACCTGAAAAGCATGTCTATTTAGCCCATTTTTTTCCTTTTGTGTCACTTGACTATTAAAATTATAGCTTTCAATTTGTTGTGCTTACTAACGATTTCTAGCAATTCTTCCTTTGACCTAAAAGCTTATTTCTGACCATATTTTTCTTAACTAATCTCTGGAAGTCCTATATGTGTGCTTATGTATAAACCACAATGGCTGAGTCTGAATGTACTTCATTTGCAGTCCCATCCCCCGGAGGATGAAGAAACAGATGTCATGTTAGGACAGAGGCCAAAAAACCCAGTACACAATATCCCCTCAACACTGGACAAGCAGACCAACTGGAGCAAAGCACTACCTCTCCCGACCCCGGAGGAGAAGATGAAACGAGATGCCCAAGTGATTTCTTCTTGTGTTATTCCCATCAATGTCACTGGTATCGTTCTGTTCTTTTCTTATGGGCACTCGGTCAGAATATTGTCTGTTAAAGATGTTCAAAGCCTGTGCTGCTGGGCATACCAGTTAAGAATACTGCTTTGCAAACAAGCAATACCTTTTTCATCAGAATACAACCTAGAAGATGTTCAGTATGCCTTTGTCAGGTTTTGAACATCAATTTGCATATGTTCTGCTGGGCCACTTGTTATGTAAATGATGGACAGTTTCCTTTTGAAAAAAGTCACCAAATAGCTCTTTGGCCATAGCTGACTGAAATAATGGAGAAAGCAGCAGTGATTAATCATCTGATAATCATGCATGGCACTGCAAGAAAGAAACCAGCAAACCCCAGGTTTCTAAACTGCAAGTAATGATCCTGTAGACCGACTATAAAATCTATTGGCATGCTTCTGTGGGTGAAGGTAGGCTAATTTCAAAGGTCGTTTAGACTTCTGCACTGATTTCAGGGATTTGTGACCTAGAAATGCAAGGATTCATGTACGAAGGCTGAATTCTACTCTAACCTCTACAAGCCTGTCTCCTGTTCACTCTCTGCACCCCTCCTCCTATGTGTTGACAGTTTGGATATTAGTCTAGGTTGAATGCTAGCCTGTTTGGACTTATCTTGAAAAGTTTATTGGCAACAACTGTAAATTCCAGAATTGGATCTGGTAATCTTAGTTGCAGGCAAAATGTTATAGACTTTCTAAGATAGAAATTAAGGGGTCTGCCCATTGGGCTTCCTTTAAACATTTCTTATAGTTTATTTCACCTTATTTGTATATTGAAAATTTCAAAATGGCCATATTAAGACTGGTTTTGGTACCATGTGACTAAAGATTACATGTCACTCCATGTGCATTTTGGACATGGCTGTTATTAACCCCACTCAGATCTCTCTGATGTAAAGGAGGGAGCAAATGATGGCCAGATATCTGGGATAGATATTATTTTCTTCCTGAAAATAAAGGAGTTCTAGTTGATTGGCTGGTTGTGAGCTGAGAGTTAATTTTCTTGATGACCTGTTCAACTGGTAAGATGACTCCTTCTAAGGATGTGTACTTTATCTGATTTCTGTAATCTAAATGGGATGGGTTAGGGGAGATCAGCTGCCAAAATATCTCATTTTGGCATCCTCTTTAACTTTCTGTTCTGACAACATCCAGTTGTTAGCAGCACCTGCTTTCTTCATGGCACTGTAAGTAAAATCTATTTTTGAATTTAGCTCTTTGATTATGGTTCTTGTGGTTCAGGAAATGGGAAGATCTTTCCTTATGCTTTATTTCAGGAACTCTCAGACTAAAGCCTAGATTATAGGTTGATTTCAAGAGCTTTAATGAGAAAGTTGTTAATTATGTCCATATAACACAGTGTGTGTCTGTAGGCCATATGTTCTATAATTATTTTGATTCAAATGGAGGATTTTAATTTTTGGTTGCAAGTAAGAAAGGAAAATCCCATTAGTATGAATTCTCCAATAATACTGTAATTATTCATCACATGACATACAGATTTTTTAAAGTGAGGTCGAGAAACTGTTGTCACTGTGATGCTAAACAGAACTCAAACTGCCTCATTATATACCTGAACCAAGGTTTAACATGGTATCCTGCCCTCTGCTTAACAGGCAGAAGAAATGATGAAGCAACCAGATTCCCAAGCACTTTTGGCATTATGGCTTTCTGAGGCAAAGCCCACTCTGAAAAACCCGTGGTGCATGCCTGCGCCAGACAGGAGTTTGAGTTCCTTACCTCCTCCCTCAGCATTCGAGTTTGGTTAGGACTGCATGTAGTGTGTCAATAATGCGATTATGGAGAGAGAAACCAACAAGCATCACGGTTGCCTCTGGTATTTACAAAAGCAAACAGACCTGTTGTAAAGACTGGGAATTCCAACTTTATTTGCAGTTGGTACAGAAGGTAGAGCCGCTTAACTGCAGAACTGGGGACTGCCTTGTGCTTTTATTTGATATTGGTAAGACACCGATGCCAAGCCAAAAGGTGACCAGTTTAGTCGGTAGAAGAAAGCAGACAGAGTTGATTTAAAAACAAATTTCTAGCTGTTGTTCCCTCACAGCAAGTGTGTGTGTGTGTGTGTGTGTGTGTGTGTGTGTGTGTAGGGTTTGGGTACAGTGGGTAGAGGGAAAAAAAAAAACCTCACAAAGATGGCTTTTTAATGAAGAAATGGGTCAGGATATGTTAGCTGAACTGATTCAGGTTAAAATCTTGGCTATGGATCTACTATGCAAAGATACCAGCTTCAGAGGGCCCCAAAGAAGACCAGTAAATAGTAGTGACTAAAGATTTTAAGTCCTAAAGGAGCCATTTCTATGTGAGAGTGAGTCTTTGATGTTATTTTCCTCTCCTCTTCCTTTTGATTTTCCTTCTTTGCGAGTTACTTTTGGCAGTGCGGGCTGCTGAGGAGAACTGCATTTAGAAGGAAAGCTTAATGTACTGCAGCATAATTTAAATAAGAGCTGAATAAGGGCTCCCTTATATTTGTTCACAGTCTTAGTCCAACCTCTTCCTTTACCTCCAGTCAATAAATATCACTGTGTTCCAAGCAAATGAAAATTTGTTTGCCATTTCTAAAGGCTAATGAGACCTATTTGTGGATTGCAGGAGTCGGTTTTGACAGAGAGGCTAGTATACGCTGCTCTCTTGTTCATTCACAATCCGTACTACAGCGGAGGCGAAAACTGAGGAGAAGGAAAACCATCTCGGGTATCCCCAGGAGAGTCCAGCAGGAAATAGGTGCAGTATAAAACTATTAATGGTTAACATTCCTATCAGGTGCTAATTATAAGAACATGAAATGGAAGCTGGCCTTTAACCAGCTTCCTTAAAAATAGTCAATGTTGTTAACTTGTAGAGGTTTTTGAAATGGTATATACTTGTTTTGTGTTCAGCAAGCCAGGTAGTTTTACTTTTTAAATTTCTGTTCTTGACACTGAAGCTTTGGCCTTACGGATTTAGGCATATATGTTCAGATTTCATGGCTGAAATATAGTATTTTGGTAAACTCTAAAAGCTTTATTAAGGTGAAAATTGTGAATAAACAGTAACAAGATGCAATGAGTTTTAGAAAAGCATACTTTTATTTCAAAAGCATGCTTTTCTATAAAAAAATACATTTTATGGCATTAATTATTTAGAAAGGTACATTTCAAGCATACTCAATGAAATATTGAAGATTGATAATGTTACCCTTCATGACATTTTTCTGTTTATTCTGTTTAATGTGTTTAGCATATCTCTTCCTATGTTTTTTTAAAACATTATTATGGTAGCATCTCTTATAAGTAAGATTTTTATTTCTTATAATGAATCCTATGATTTTTATGTTGTTAGTTTTACATTTCAAAATAAAAATGAATAGTGGCCAAGAAAATAGAATGTGCTTTAGTTAAAAAAAACATAGTAGTTGCTTACTAGGGCAAAGTAATTTGATAGTGAAGAGAGAGAATTCACAAAAGATCTAAAAGCAATCTTCTCTTAGTACATATACATACATATAGTGTGTGTGTGTATGTGTGTGTGTGGGGGGAGAGGGGGCAGAGAGACAGAGATTCTCCAAGCATTTTGACTTTCTGCTAATTCTGTCTGCTGATTTTTTTCTATAAGATAAAGCTCCAAATGACAGCCCCCAGATTTGTGAACATCTCTCAGAAGGTCTGTTAGTCTGATGATGTCTAAAATTTCTCATTGTGTTTTCCATGTATGCCAGATTCTGATGAATCCCCCGTGGCCAGAGAAAGGAATGTGATTGTGCACATAAATCCAGACCCTTCCAACACTGTCAACAGGAGGTCTGGAACCAGGGATTCAGAGTGCCAAACTGAGGACATCCTGATTGCTGCTCCATCCAGAAGAAGAATCAGAGCTCAAAGGGGTCAAAGCATTGCAGCTTCCCTTTCTCATTCCGCTGGCAATATTTCTGCATTGGCAGACAAAAGCGACACCATGTTTTCTACTGCAGTGAGCAGCCGCACAAGATCTCGGAGCCTTCCCCGGGAGGGCAATAGAGGTGGAGATGCTGAGCCCAAAGTTGGTGCTAAGCCCTCAGCATATGAAGAGGGGGAGCCTTGTGTGGAAGACGAAGACAGAATCCCTAATGAGTGCAGCGAGGCCCCCAGCAGCCCAGGTGCACAGGAACACCAGCCTGCCTTGGGCCTGGCCTGTGCTCAACATCTTCACAGCCCCCAGCACAAGTTAAATGAGAGGGGGAGGTCACGTCTGTCCCGAATGGCAGCCGACTCTGGCAGCTGTGACATCTCCTCTAACTCAGACACCTTTGGGAGCCCCATCCACTCCATCTCCACAGCTGGCGTTCTCCTCAGCAGCCACATGGACCAGAAAGACGACCACCAGTCATCCAGTGGCAACTGGAGTGGAAGTAGCTCTACATGCCCCTCCCAAACCTCAGAGACAATCCCTCCTGCCGCTTCTCCTCCCCTCACTGGCTCTTCACACTGTGACTCCGAGTTGTCACTAAACACGGCCCCTCATGCTAATGAGGAGGCCAGTGCCTTTGTGACAGAGCAGTACAGTGACCCACTGGATAAACTGAGAGGCCACCGGGCAAACTCCTTTACCTCCACTGTGGCAGACCTGCTGGATGACCCCAACAACAGCAACACCAGTGACAGTGAGTGGAATTACCTACACCACCATCATGACGCCTCCTGCCGCAATGATTTCAGTACTGAGTGCCCCAAGGCAGACAGCCTGGGGTGTGCAAGCTTCACAAGCATGGCCACTTACGATAGCTTTCTGGAAAAGTCTCCATCGGACAAAGCAGACACGAGCTCTCACTTTTCAGTGGACACAGAAGGATACTATACCTCCATGCACTTTGACTGTGGGCTCAAAGGAAGTAAGAGTTATGTCTGTCACTATGCAGCCCTGGGCCCAGAGAATGGCCAGGGTGTTGAGGTTCCTCCTACCCTTCCGGACCATGCCTGGCAGGACTACTTAGACCATAGGAGGCAGGGGAGACCAAGCATCTCTTTCAGGAAACCAAAGGCAAAGCCGACCCCACCTAAACGAAGCTCATCGTTGAGGAAGTCCGATGGAAATGCAGACACTTCCGAGAAGAAAGAACCAAAGACAAGCAGTGGCCAGCTCCTGCCTCATGGTGCCAGAGAAATGAAGCTGCCTCTTGATTTCTCCAATGCACCTTCTCGAATGGAAAATTCTAATCTTCCCACCAAGCAGGAGCCTTCTTGGATGGACCAGAGTGAACATGGAATTAAGGAACCTCAGTTAGATGCTTCAGATATTCCACCATTCAAAGATGAAGGTGCTGAATCAACTCACTATGCAGACCTCTGGCTTCTAAATGACTTGAAAACAAATGATCCTTACAGATCTTTATCTAATTCAAGCACTGCTACGGGTACCACAGTTATTGAATGCATCAAATCTCCGGAGAGCTCTGAATCCCAAACTTCCCAGTCAGAATCGAGAGCCACTACCCCATCCCTTCCTTCTGTTGACAATGAGTTTAAACTGGCTTCACCAGAAAAGCTGGCTGGCTTGGCATCTCCATCAAGTGGCTACTCAAGCCAGTCTGAAACACCAACATCCTCTTTCCCTACAGCTTTCTTTGCTGGTCCACTGTCTCCTGGAGGTAGCAAAAGAAAACCGAAAGTCCCAGAAAGGAAATCCTCACTCCAGCAGCCCTCTTTAAAAGATGGAGCTTTATCACTGAGTAAAGATCTTGAACTTCCAATTATACCTCCTACTCATGTTGACCTAAGTGCTCTTCATAATGTCTTGAATAAACCATTCCACCACCGTCACCCACTGCATGTTTTTAGTCATAATAAGCAGAACACAGTAGGAGAAACACTGAGGTTGAATCCTGCATCATCCCTTGCAATTACACCGACAGTCCTGAAATCTGTTAACCTTCGGTCATTCAGCAAGTCTGAAGAGGTTAAGCAAAAAGAAGGGAACAGTAAGGATCTCCCCTACTTAGAGGAAAGCACTCTCACAATGGCTGCCCTGTCCCCAGGTAAGATTAGGCCACAAGTGGCTAAGAAATCACTGTCACGTCAGTACTCCACTGAAGACACCATACTGTCCTTTTTAGATTCCTCTGCTGTTGAGATGGGACCAGATAAACTGCAGTTAGAAAAATACCGTACTTTTGTTGTGAAGAATCATTGTGATCCAGAAACAGTAAGCTCAGCTGGTAGCAATCTTCTAGAGTCAAGTGTCACAGTGGACCAAATAGCTATGGAGAGCGAACCTATTCCAGAAAACACAGCAAGTAAGAATTGGGACTTTCCCACAGAAGAATCTCAGAGGGTATCTGCTGCCCACCCAAATGATTTGAATGGTAACATACTGCAGTATGGAGCTGGCCCAGAGGGATCCTTCACACAGGCACAGAAGGCATCCCCTGGGGATCGGGAGGAAGTGGCACACCCAGAGTCAGTAGATGGGCTGGCATCTCAGTCACACTCACCAGCTAGAGCCACAGACATAAGCAGTCAACCTAAGCATCAACCAGGAATGAGCCGCCACTATGACAAAGTGCCTGGGAACATCAGCTACGAAGCAGAGATATCAGCTGTAAATTCATGCCCTGGAAAACGTTCTGACCAGGAAAATATTGCTTCAGGTATTTCAGCCAAAAGTGCCTCTGATAACAGCGGAGCAGAGGAGACCCAAGGAAGTATGGACGAGGTTTCACTGAAAGGTCAGTTGTTGATACCCTTGGCACAACGGAAAGGTGTCTCCTGGCATTTCCTGAAGTTTCTCTTTCTCACATTCCCCATAACACAGTACAGTCCCAGGTGTTAGTTCCCCTCCACCATTGCTTTTCACTTACTCAAACAAGTGAGATGAAGCTTTTGTTATTGAGGGTCTAAGCTGGGACAGATCTCTTTGTCACTTTACAAATGGCAGTAAGAGTACTGTTGTTGATTTATCCCCCGAGTCAGTGAAGCACAGCAGTGTGCCGGGTACCTTGCCCCTAAAGATGCTTTTGTTCTTAATTTAAGAATCGTCACCGAGTGATGACTCTGTGATTTCACCACTTAGTGAAGAGTCTCAGGCTGAAGGGGAAGGTGTGTTCGTGTCTCCAAACAAACCTCGAACAACTGAGGATTTATTTGCAGTCATTCACAGGTGAGGCAACAATCCCCAAGCTTCTTTTTCTCTTTTGTAACAGGGCTTCTCATCAAATGCAAATAAGGGAAAGCCTGCTGAATTTGTGATACATTCAGCAAAAAAACAAAGCAAGCAAAGGAAAAGTGTTTTTCTAAATCAAACTGAGGATTTATATTCAAATTGGGAAATATGGGAAATATATATATATATATATGGGAATATGGGAAATATATATATAATAAATATAAATAATATACAATAAAAATATAAATTTATATAAACATGGGAAATAAATAGATAGATAGCTCTCAATTGAGAGACTTTCCTAAGAACTGCGAGGGAAGATGTTTTTTCCCTAGGAGAAACATTCTGGAACAAGTTCTGAAAACAATTTGTGGCTAAGTAACCTAGAGTGAAAGCTCAAACTCTAATATAACCTCTGACTGAAATAATTTTTTGAATGTAAAAAAAATATGCTCAAAACTGTAATCTTACACTAGCAGAGATAAGTGTAAGTTGATTCGCTGAACAGAGCCCCAAGTTTGAGACAAGACAGTGTATAAACCAGCCCATATCCTAGCTCATAACTAATCACTGCTCCATTTCTTCCTCTCTTCGCAAAACTTCAATTTCTTTAATAACACTGGCTTCCTCTAAAATTAATGCCCCATATCCCAAGAATAAGAGCTGTCCTCTGGACTGCTACTCCAGGAGAGTGTGGTGCTAATGCTGTACATACATTCTCTCATCTGCCCCCGTGTCCTTGTGATCAAGGCCCATATCGGCAAGAATACTCCCTACAACCTGTGACCAAAGAACAGAGCAGGAATTAGCCCTTGGAAACTAAACCCATATCAGGCTGGGCCATCCAATCATGCTGCACCTACTTCTTTCCCAACCATGACTGCCTTCTTCCACTAGGCCTCAGTGACCTAGATGGGACTTCCAAGGGACAAAACTTGGGGACTGTCTTTTCTACCTCATGAAGTTACACTTTTTGAAGCAAGTTCTTTGTCGGCAGTTTACCACTATTTTTCCCGGGACTCTACTTTAGAAGGGAACTTGCGTTTTCTGTTGATCTGGTTCTCTCATAAAGAACCACTGCTTTTCAACAACTTTTGTTAAAGGAGCCAATTGGAAACACCTTCTGGGTGTATATACCTTAGCAGGCATGCTTCTCTACTCACAGAGTGAAGAATCATCTTTCTTTGCCCAGGTGTAATTTAAGCTCCTCACTCCACTTTATCCTCAATCTCAGGAATAGTTGCTAAAGTGCTATGTAAGTTAAAGAGCCAGGGTCTTAGCCCAAAGAACCAAATGCTAGTGTCTGGAATGGTGGGCAGAGCATAAGTAGTGGAGTCAGAAAGACCTGGAACTGAATGCCAATGCTGCCACGTCCTATCAAGTCTTAAGTCAGTTAACACATCTGTACCTATTCCCTTACTGTAATGGAGAGACCTATGGCTCACACATTCAATACTCATGATAAAATAACATTGTAGTATCTGGAATAAAGTAGATGCTAAAAGCAAATGTTAGTTTGAAACACCTATCCTACTGGAGTCCCAGACACTGGCACCTGCAAGGGAACAACCATGAAGGTTTCAGGGACCCAAAATCAGGCTGGCGTCCAGTTGCAAAGCTGACATTTTCTCTACCCTATTGATTTTTAGGTTGGTGAGAGAGCATGTTGCCAATACTTACCAGTGAATGAGTCCTCCTGAAGAGTCACTGGATTTATTATGCCTGTTTACTCATCAAAAGAAACAATATGATGATAGGTGCCTAGGTTTGATAGACTGGCATTTGTGCAGGCTTTCTGTATTTATGTGTGTATAGCACCATGACAAGAATGATTTTGTTTCTGGAGCACTTACAGTGTATGGAGCTTCAAGAGCTCCAGAGGTAGGCTAGGTTTTCAGCTCCTCACAGAAAGTTGGCTTTACTGATTAATACACTGTTGATGCTCCTAGGCAGCTACAGAAAATGCTATTCGCAGATTGTAGATCCAAAAAGGGATTGATTTATTTGAAGTCATGTAAGAAATTTTTTCATATGGAGGAATTTAAAAAGTAGCCAGAATAGTATAATGTGTCCCCCCCAAAACACACCCACATCCATCACCCAAGCCATCAACCAAGGGCTGATCCTGCCCCATCCATAGTTCCATCCACTTTGTTCTTCTGGTATTCATTGGAAGCCAATCCCAAACACTGGGGTATTTTCTCTGTATTACAGAGACAGATTAAATAGGAGAAAGCTGTAGTCCTTCACTGTGTACAGTGTCACCGGTAGTCAGATCGCAGTATTTTCTTTTACTCACATAAAACATCCCAACAAGTCCTCTTCTAGAACCTCTAGCCTCCACATTGGGCATTATTTGAAATGGTCATTTTCAGAACCTAATCTATGTCTGCTGGCTATCGGGGTATTTCCCTCAGGCTGTGGCTACAAGAGCAAGAAATGCCCCCAGTCCTCAGCCCATAAGCTTACTGTGTCCCATTGGATAGGGGGTGCCAAAATGCCCCTGAAGGAGATGTGCCAATGTGACTTAACACTGTTCATTTCATAAACATGTATGTGGACTGAGATTCATCCTTTTCTTAAAAGGTCCAAGAGGAAAGTGCTTGGAAGAAAAGATTCTGGGGACATGTCTGCCCGAAGCAAATCAAGGGCTTCCCTTGGCAGTGGCAGTGCGGGTTCTGTCTCTTCCCCAAACAGCAGCATCAACACCCCAAACAGCCAGAGGTCTCCCGGCCTCATCTACCGAAGTGCCAAAAAGTCCAACACATCGAATGAAGAGTTTAAGCTGTTACTCCTCAAGAAAGGCAGTCGCTCAGATTCCAGTTACCGCATGTCTGCCACTGAGATCCTGAGGAGTCCCATCCTGCCCAAACCACCTGGGGAGCTCACCATTGAGGCTCCCCAGAGCTCCCATGACACCAATCAGGGGGCCCCTGGGGCCGAGGTGTTGTCACCACTTTCTCCGTGCTCCCCACGAGTTAATGCAGAAGGGATTTCCTCAAAGAACTTTGCCACCTCAGCATCAGCAAGGGTGGGTCGTTCCCGGGCCCCCCCTGTGGCCAGCAGCAGCCGCTACAGTGTCCGCTGCAGGCTGTACAATGCACCCATGCAGGCCATCTCTGAGGGCGAGACAGAAAACTCTGACGGAAGCCCACATGACGACCGATCCTCCCAGAGCTCAACATAGGTGGCCGTGCCAGGCTGTCAGAGGCCAAAACCCTTAGTCATTGGAGGATGGAGGAACAGAACCGAGGGCTTGGGAGAAGTCGGCACATCATGGGGTGCCATGATGTGATGGGGTACCATCACTGTTTGCCAATGGACTCCTAAACATTTGCTGGGGAAACAGGAGGTGGCTTGGCCTTTCTGGATTCTTTTCCATGTTTTTAAGTAGCTGCACTGTCTTTCATAATTTCCTTTCACTCAGTTTGATTTACCTAATCTCATTCCTTTTGATAATATAAAATTCAAAAATGTCTGCTTTTCAAGAAAACTAGCAAAAAGTTTTCTCAGAGCTGCCTATTCAGAAAACAAAGCCCTCACTGTCATAATTCTTAAGAAGATGAAATTACTCTGGAGGTTTGGTATTTTTTTACAGTATAATGAACTAAAGCAAAATTTAGAAGAAAGAACTACACACATGTAAATACCATATTTTTGATAAAAATATGTAAATAGATTTATCAATGACAAGTGGACATGTGGCCAATTATCTACCACACACCAACTGTTTATAGAACACAAAAGTAACATGTAATAATTGTATTCTGTGAATACCATTTTCATACAAAATACTGTATTTAAATGTCCACCAATATGATTTCTGAGTAATAAACCTCAAATACGAATTTTAAACTAGTGAAATAAAGGAAATCTTGAGATCATATAGTGAAATATGATTAATTTAAAATAATGAATTCAGACCTAACTATTTTTCTGACAAATTACAACACCCAACAAGTCAATAGTAACACATGGCTATGATTTGCCATGTGGTATCTTGGACAGAATGAAAAGCATGCTTTTGATTTTTTGTTTAAATCAATGAGAGGAATCATCAGTCTCAACTCACAGCCCTGAACAACAGCATTTGACAGTGTCCTTTAGACTCTAATTTTTTGAAGGATTGCTTTAAAGAGAATGAGTAGGGAAAACAGTAGTTAATTTTAGGTTATGTTTTATATTAGGCTACTGGGGACATAAGCAGTCATAATCTAATGACTATAATCTTTAAACTCAGACAGTTTAGCAATTAGCTCCAGGTTCTTTAAGGAAAATAAAACATAAGCATGCCACAGAGCTGTTGATTTATCAGTAAGTACCTGCAATGAGTTTTCAGTGAAGCTTTCTCTCTGTGCTGATGAAATTCATGCTACCTAAAAATTAACAGAAATGACACTGTGAACAATGTAGTTGGGAAATAGGTATGTGTATATGTATTATTTATATTCACTGTTAAACCGGGAATGGGGAACACCTTTGGTTCACAATGCTACATACAACTGAGTTTTTGTCTGATTTTACTATATCTATTTGATGGCAAAAGGGGAGGGCAGTGGGTGGGAAGGGATATGTCAGGCCAAGAGCTCTGATGAAATGAAGGCAGGGAAACAAGCTGAATTACTTGAAATTACTTGAATTTTCTTGTCTTAAAACTGAGAAAAAATGTACTTACAAGTTGAAATCTGCAAATGGCTTTTACACCTCCGATTTTAACATGAACTGATACTAATGTTTGAAATGATATGTCAGAAATATAAGCAGCTATATACTAAGAATATGCTTTGAATGGGAGAACGTAGAAAGTAAAACAGAACTAAGAAGGGATAGAGCCTATAAAACAATAGAATGTGATTGGAATGATAGAACACACCAGTGTTACCAAGAAATTGATAAGCAGCTGGCTTTAAGCTTATGCAAGTGGTATTTGGGAAAGTAGGATGTGTGAAAGCAGGTTTGTGGTTTTGGTTTAATTCCTCAATAGGAAGGAGAAAGCCTGGTCTAAGAAGATGCTAGCTTTCAATAGGAACATTTTCTAAGATGTTACAGATTGAGAATTAGATAATCTGATTGCTGTTGGGTTTTGTTTGGAAAGGGAAAAATAAGTGACTAGCTTCTTCTATTTGTTTTCACTATCAAATTGTGTTCCTTAATTTCTTGTCATCCTTGTATGTAAAATGGGGTGCTGAGGGTGGAGGGGTAAAGGAGGGAGAATATGTGTGTGTGGGTGTGTGGGTGCTTGTGCTGGGATAGATAAGCTACCTGGTAAAGGGTACTTTTGAACATTTACAAAGCATTATACTTCTTATTCAAAGAAAGTTTTTGGAGGTTTGAAATAAAAGGACCATCATTTCTCATTGGGACCCATTAGTTAAGAAAAGCAGCATGGTTTGATACCACGTGGAAACATGAATAACTTTTTCTCATGCTTTGAGAGGTACACTTGGAAAAATTTTAAAAGTAAAGTTTTTAGACAAATGTGATAATAAACAGTCATTTCCAGTCACAATAAGTGAGCTTTTGTAATTTTCATAAAAGCAGTTCGTTTGCAGTATGGCTTTTGTGTAGTTAGGGGTTTTTTAAGCATAAAGAAAGGTAGGTGGGCATTAAAAGTGATTCTAAATCTTGAATAGAAAATATGAATTGGCTTTAATAAATGTCACCTTTTTATTATTGACATCAATTTAAGTAATGGTACCATATATTTTTTAAAATACATATTGACTTGAATTGTGAGGCAATAAGATACCTTCTATATGTAATGATCACAGAACTAACCCTTATAATATAGTTTTACTTATTTTGTTTACTCTAAAAATCTATAGCAGAGTTTCTCTATTTTATATTTCATAGATTTTAAAAAACCCAAATAAGGATGAATTTTAAATTCACTGTGAAAGAATATTGAGTAACAAAACTGAGTTTGAAAAAGCAAGAAATTCCTTAGTAATCTGGAATATTCTACATGGCTTTGTTACATGTCATATAAGACCAAGATTTAGAGGACTGTGTTCAACATCACTGCCGTCTTAAAGCAGGGTACACACATTAGGTATTGCGAAGAACAGCAATCCAAACTTTTCTTCTGTTGTTTGCACTGATGCTATTTTTTTGTTCTTTTGTGTTTATATAACATGTCTATGTTGTGTGGGGAAAATTTTTTTTCCTTACCTTTTAAATTTTTTTTTTTTGGCTAAGTAGAGGACATGGACTAGTTGTAGCAAACACATTGTTTGCTCTTGCCAAAGGTCAGTGAGTGAGTGCATTCATTTGCTGCAGTGATAGCAGACTTAGAGAACTAGATCATGACAAAGATTTAAAACTACAAAGAAGGTTACCGTATAACTATTTTGGTACTAGAACCAGTTCATGCTGGCCAAAAAGACAATGGTTTATGGACTTGCATCCATTTTGTATTTTTGTAATATTTGTAAATATGAACTTTTTAAATTGTTGCAGAAATGGTTTCTTTTGTAAGATGTTTTCAACGTTTACATTCAATTCAAGCCTTTGTATATTTTAGAGCTGTGCAACACTTTGTCTTGTATTTATTTTTAGTAAAAATGGTGACAGTTTCATTGTGAACCCCTCTTCAAAAAATGTACCTGAAAAGTTTGATTACCTAGAAAGTGTGTATAGAAACTGCAAATAAACGTGACTGCAATTAAACAACCGGTTTCTGTCTACATTGTTAAATTCTTGCATTCTTCAGGTTTCACAAGCAGCAAGTGATTTATAGGGACCTGGACGTCAAGGAGGGGAACTGCTATGCAAAGTGTGAACAAAATAATAAATACTGTTTCTGTCATGGGCTTTAATCTAGCTTTGTATTTGAAAAGAGAAAATGCATTTCCCACGTCCAGTATACATTCCTTTTTGCTCCTCTCTGGACCAGGAAAAGATTTATGGCTTTACTTTGAAATACCTGCTTTACTTCTGATAGTTACTCAGACTGTGCCTCCTTCTAAGATAGGCAGCCTCGATATACCTAAGACAATATGCCACTAAATAATATTATATACCCTTTATTACATAGCAAATTTATGTGACAAATTCTGTTCTAAGTGCTTTGCTTACTCTAACTCATGTACTCCCCATGTTGTGCCCATTTTACAGGCAAGGAAACTGAAGCACAGAGCCGTTACTTGACTTGCCCAAAGCCATAGAGCGATTCAGTGTTGGGGCGAGGGTTCAAAGCCAGCGAATCTGGCTCCAGGGTCTAACAGCATTTTAAATAGCTTGCTCCTTGGTTGTATCAAACTAAGATCGCAAAAGTCGACTGCTAAGGACCTGCCCCGATCCCCTTTAAATTCCAGCACTGACTTGTACACCTAGAAACAAATTAACATCGACGTTTCTGATGCGTCATGGGGTGGGAGGTCGGGGGAAAGTGGCGGAGTTACATTTTTTAAAAAGCTTCAACCAACCGACCAATCACAGCCCAGCTGCTCACTCACGCGAGCCGCCTCCAAATTCCAACACCGAGACCTCAGGGTGGCTCGCGACCCCGCACTCCTGCGCAGCCGCAGAAACACCTCTCAGTCTTGGAGGCTCGCGCCTGCGGTCTACCGCCGCCTTCCAATCCCATTAGCCTCCGCGAACGGAAATCTGAGCTCAGACTCCAAGCTCCAGGCGCTCCAAGGCATTGCTGCTACGCAGTGTAAGCAAAGCCCCTCCCCTTGGCTGTCGCCCTAGCAACACCTCGTTCCGAGCAGCTGCGCAGGCGCCCGCAGGATCGGTTGGTTAACAGCAACCTGCTCGCTGCATGTTGTCACTGATAGGGGGCGCACTGGTCCAAAGCAGCCGCGGCTTACGGCAGACGCGTTACGTAATTGAGCGCGACTTCCGGTGCGCGTACTGTTCTCGATCCTCTCGATCCTCTAGGGATCCTTACCGTCTTTGCAGTTGTCGCTCGAAGGACGGATCCCTGCTAGCCGGCTCCTGCCCCCTTCGGAGGCCGAAGTGGCAGTCTCTAAGGTCAGAAAAGGTCCGTCTAGTGACATTTTCCCCTCATTAAACTTTCTTACCTCAGGTGTTCACGATAAGCGGTTGAGTGATTGGCTTAACGGATGGAGAACTCCGGAGCAGGGGGCGCGACGAAGGGGCCGGTCAGAATGTTCTTTGAGGGAGAGTAAGGTTTTGCTTTTCGTGAAGAGCGAGTGTACACTTATATTTCAGCAGTGTTTGGGGTGGTTTGGGATGTTTTGTAGTGGTGCCATGCGCCTCTCCCGGGACGCCGGCGGGTGTGAACTTTTGAGGTTTGGCTGCTGTTCGAGTACTCTGCTGACTTCCTGGGACGAACGGAGCCTTTTTCATCCTTTCTCTTCCTTGGCGTAGGCGGGTGGGAGACGAGGAATGATCGACGCTTTCAGACTTTATATGGAATTTTGAGTTTACAGAATTGATAAACTAGCGAGTTGATTCGTTATTACACTTTGAGATTGAGACGTTGAATTTGAGGCGTTCATGCTAAACGCGTTTGATCAAAGACGGTGCAGCCTCCTTGTTCTAGGTAAATATGTAGATGAGGACAAAGAAAGATGTGGATTGAGCACTGTCTTTTGATAACTTCGTCTTGTTGGGGATCGCTTCCCTCTCTCTCCCTGACTCTCCCCGAATTCGGACTGCGCTATGCTCTAGAGTTTAAAACTAATGTTCACAAATCATGATTTTTACAAGGAACTTTGCCGCACGGTTTATATAAAGCAGGGCTCGGGCTCGAGTCACTGCTGGGCGATGGGATACAGTTTGGGCGGCTTTATTCGCCATCTGGCCGTCTTCGTAGTCTCTGAAGTTTCATGCGGGCAGGAGAAGGACTGCTTTCGAGAGTCCTGACAGAAGTTTTTAAAAATGATTGTTCAGTGTATTGACACACAGTTTTTCTTAAAAACTTGGAGTGGTCTGGCTCTTGTAATCTGCCCAGTTGTGCCGTGTGTTCCTTGCCTTGGTTTTCGGGTGAAACGCCGTTTTCATCCCTCACCATTGCGATACTTTGATGGCAAATAGATGCCTTGCACCTCGGGAGCGAAAACTTCAAATGACTTGAAAAAATGGCTTTGAAATATCTTTAATGTCTAAAAAATGTTTTTTTAAGAAAGCAGATGGTTTCTCGTTCTTATGTATCAAGAATTTAAATTTATTATCGTAAAATATAAATGAGCGTTTTAACTAAACTCATTTTACAGGATTTCGAATTTAACGAATTATGTTAATTTTGCATAATGTAGTCGTGGTTGGGCTCTAAGAAAATGTGGCAGAAACTTTATTGTGGGAAGAAGTGGAAGGGAACTAAAATTGATGCTGTGTCTGCTATGAACCAGACATGCTGAGTGTTTAACTGTGTCATTTGGTCTTACATTGCCTTGTGAAGTAGCTATTATTCTAACTTTACAGTTTAAAAAATTGAAGCACAGAAAGGTTAAATACCTGCCTAAAGCAAAATAGCAAATTTTGAAATTTGGATTTGGATTCAAGTATTTCTTAAAGCCCAGTTCTTTGTACTATGCCTTGGTACTTAAAACTAGTTTACAAATGGTTGCTATATCTGCAGTGTACAGGTGCAATGTGAATGAAAATGACATATTATGGCCCTGAGGGTTTGTTGTCTTTGTGCTCCATGACAAATAGTTATGTTGGGGGGGTGGGGGGAAAGTGTTGTGAATACCCAAATAATAAAATAATAGTAGCCAACAGTGGGTACCCTTGCTATGCCAGTCATTGTTCTAAGCACTTGACATATATTAATTCGTTTAATCCTCATATAACTCCATGAGGTTTGTACTGTTATCCCCATTGTACAGATTTTTTTAAAAGCACAGGGAAGTTATGTAGGTTGTCCAAAGTTACACAGCTAGTAAGTGGAGGAACTGGGACCCAAACCCAGGTATCCTGACCCCAAGCTTAAATGTTAATGCTCTTTGATGCCTCTCATATTACTAGCCAATGTGTGACAATTGCTTTAAAAGCACTGAAGTTTGAGTGTTCTCATACTTCAGGGAAAGCAAGTGTCACTTTCAGATGGGGTGACATAGTACCTTTGCTCTGTGGAAATGGAACTTGAATTAAGCCTTGCAGTTGGATAGGTTCTTCTAGGTGGAGGGAGAGAGTAATTGTGGGCAGAGGGCATGACAGGAGTGAGAGGTTCAAAGAGTGCAAGATTGGTGTTGATTTGTAAATGTGCCAGAGGTAGAAATGTTGGGAGTCCAGTGGAAGACTAAATGTGTGCTGTTTCTGTGTCTAGCTACAGACAAGTTTTAGCAGCATTGTAATTAATCCAGTAGGAAATTGTCTAATTATCAGAGTCCATAACAGTGTTGGTGAACTTTGTCTATAAAAGGGCAGAGAGTAAATATTTTAAGCTTAGAGCAAGGGGACAAGTGCTGAGAGGTTTCAAGGCTCCTGACCATGTAGGACCTTGTAGGCCATGGTAGGAGTTTGAGTTTGTTGCTGTTATGAAAGGGATTCTGGGTGATTTTAATAATGAAGAAGTAAAGTGCATAGACTCTGGGGCCAGACTGTACCGCTTACTGGCTATGAGACCTGGGTAAATTATTTAAGCTCTCTTTGCCTTAGTTTTGTGTTAAGGAACACAGGTATAATAGTTAAGCCTGCTTGGTAGCATTGTCAAGAACACTAAATGCGTTAACATACCTCAAGTGCTTAGAACACTACGTAGCACTGAGTAAGCACTGTAAGCTGTTAAATATTATCTGTACCTTGTGGTATATTCCAAACTTTCTGTGGTGAAATTATATTTACTGAAAAATTGTATCTGTAAATCTGTAAACTAAATTGTTAAATGTTGTAAGAGTATAAGAAACACTGTTAGAGTAGGGAAATTTTAACTCAGTTGTCACTCTGTGAAGTTCAAGTAGAGGTACAAGACTGCTCTTGTAGCATTCTGTGTAAGAGTAAAACTTTAGGAGGGACAATATCCATGAATTGGGGACTGGTTAAATAAATTATGGCGTGTTTTCAAGATTGGAAACTAAGAAGTTTTCTGAGTGACTGCAGTATCTCTAAAGGTGTTGGCTTGGAAAGATTTCTCCCACCATTGACTACTTTAGCGTATTTTTGAGCTTTAGGCCAATTGATTCTTACAATATGCTTTCTTGTGTCTGGCTTTTACTCAACATCATGGTAGTGAGATTTGCTCTCATTGTGTGGCAACAATTGGTTCATTCTCATTGCTGTATGTTTTCATTGTATGAAAACATCACAATTTAATTATTCATAGCTTCATATCTTGTATTAGTCTTATAACCAGAAATAAAAAACATAGTCAAAAAAGTAAAATTTGGTTAAAGTTACAGTTCAAATTGGAGGTATTTTATAACTTGGAATTTCCCACAACTTTAACCTGCATTTACTTGAGAAGTAATTCATATTTTTAAATTTTAGTATCATTAATAAATAATTACATGAGCAACATTGTGGTTACTAGATTCCCCCTATTATCAAGTCCCCACCACATACCCCATTACAGTCACTGTCCATCAGCATAGTAAGATGCTATAGAATCACTACTTGTCTTCTCTGCTATACTGCCTTCCCTGTGCCCCCCCCACCTTATGTGTACTAATCCTAATGCCCCTTTTTCCCTTATCCCTCCCTCCCAATTGATGCAATTGTGAATGGAATTGTTTTCCTGATTTCTCTTTCTGCTAGTTC